CACACTCAGGTTGTCTGAGCTGACAGTACTGGGACTTGACGATGTGGTGGATGCCGCATGCCCGCGTGCTTTAGTCCAGATAGGCAATGTTTCAAATCACGAAGTCCATAGCGTCTTCATGATTCAGGTCAACGCAGCTCTTTCTGGCGGCCAATTTCAAAAATTGATGGTCGCACTTCGCTCAGTTTCAGACTTAACACACATTCCGACAGAAATTAGGGGCATCAAGGCTCACTGCCTGCTGGTGAAGCCTGCATTCATCCTTCTGGACGAGTGAACCACTCATTTGGCAAAGCTGTGACTGGCAAATGCATTGATTGGCTTCCTGTAAAGGAGCACCGGTCAGATGAACGTTGTCAGGTCCATGGCACACTTGTCGCGTGAAAATCAGCTTCATCTTTATGGCCTGCTGCGCGGCTGCATTCTGCAGCTGTGTCACTTTTGGTGTGGACAAATGAGAAGTGCACACATGTTTTGTTACACAAACTAATTAGCGGTGCCAGCAAATGGTGAACAAGCGTTAGCTTCTTACGGGGCCGGGGCCGACACCGAAAGTGGACCATCAGAATGCTGAATCGCATCAGCAGCTCCTTGTTTGGCCCTCCCCCTCCACCCAGCATGAGGTCCGACGTCCGGCACCCGTCTCGTCATTGGTTTCTGCTGATTGTTCCTGTCCTCGCCACTGCCATTGCCCTTGTTCTTCTCTTCTCGTCTGGCTCCCTCTCTCTGTTGTTTTTTGTTTGTTTGTCTTTTTTTCCTCTCTCTCTCTCTCTCGCTTCCTTCTCTCTTCCTTTCCGCTTGCGCAAGTGCCTAAGTCATGATGTTGGCTCATGGCATGTTACTTCCACCTGCAGGTTGACCACAGAGCTGGTTGAGCCAGGAATCAGTGGAATTGTGAGCACATGCCACAACGTGCGGGACAGCGATGATTCCAGCAATTTGCCACGGCATGCGAGTTAGTCATGCACATCCAGAGTCAAGTTCCATTTGCCAGGACCTGGCTTCCTTCCATCAGGTCCACTACCAGGTCCGCCGGAAGGTCTTGGAAACTTGCGACAGCACGGGCAGCACCGATTCCAATTCTGCCACCCGCATACTCGAGTTGGTTGAGCCAGGACCATCAAACCTTTCATTTTGAAATTTCATTATTGCGGACAAATTGTATATAGATTGGTCGGTAAATGTGTGTCGCAGGAGCTTTGCCCGAAGCGGATGCAAGCTATGAGGAACATATGCAAAAACGGCTGATGGAACAGGACCGATAGTTGCATCCTCCCGATTCTCATTGATTGCTGAAAAATTATCAGCCATTGCCAACTAGTTATCTAATAATCATGGTTGTCCAGTTGATTGGTTCATTTTGCATGTGTAGTCACCTCCCGTGCGTTGAAGCACTTGTTTCCGACAAAGTGCGGTGTAAAGTCAGGGAATGGTTCCTTGAAAATTGTGTTTCATGAAGGTGGGGGGGGGGGCAGGTCAGACCAAAAAATCAAATCTTAATTGTGGCTTATTGTTTTCAAGCAGCTAACGACAATAAAACTGCCCTGTGTACGGCATGCACAAAACGGGTGCAGTGCACAAAGTCGCCCACGTGTTCGTGGCATCCAGGAGGAGGAGATCGCCTTGCTTCAACACACAATTCAGCGTTTGCGCAACAAGCAAATGGACTATGTTGATTAAGCGTCCATGCAACGAATTCAGGTTGCGTGTGACATGTTGATTTTTCGTTGCGGAGTGAGTACTATAGATGTACATAGAGTTGTGTGCTGCTGACACTGCCGCCAGACCGGAACAAATCGATGGTTTGCGCACATATGTGAAATGTGCAATCACCTCAACTAGCGACCTTTTGCCGTGGCCCAGGTTTTGTTCGGTCGCGGCGGCGCTTGAAGCCAAAGCATTGCCAGCAACTTTATTGACAGTCAAGGCCTTATTGGGAGCTGCATCGCATGTTGTATTTATCGTGTTCACCAAACACTGACAGGTATTGGGCCCAGCTCCAGTTGCCAAGCCCAAGGCGATGAGATACTGCAACCATGCTTCTGCATAATATGGACAAATCGGCAAACAATTTGATAGTGGATCATTTTGGCAGGCAATTCTTTCAGCAAACCCAGTCAAGGCCAAAGGCGGGTATTGTGTCAATGTCAAGTGCACCGGTCGTTCTCGTCCAATTGTATGGAGATTGTGAATGAACATACATTATCTGGTGGCATTTTGGAAAAAACAGATCTCGATTTTGCCAGGCACACCAGCGCCGTTGGTGGCAATCAAACCATTGCCACCACCAAAAACCGGTGATGTCCGCGCGGTGATCGATGCAGCGCCATTGCTGCCCACTGACCGTGTTTCAGATTGGCAACCCCCATTGCCACCGCCGCCACCGCCTCCACCACAGACACCACCACCTCCGCCGCCTCCGCCGCCACCAGCAAGTAAGACAACTGCCAAACCGTCTGGTCCCATTCCGGGCACCGAGGACGTGAAGGATCTGGTGGCACGTACGCACGAAATGGTAACAATCATGTTGTGACCGTAGGTGGGTTTACCTGCAACACAAATCAGGACACCAAAGATGCTGGGAGCACATCCGCTGACGCACGCATCCTAGATTGCAGATCTTGTGTTTCGGTCAGGGACTCGACATTTGAGGTGCCTGCAAAATGCCAAAGCAAAGGAACTGATGCAATTTGGCTTGTTGTTTCACGGCAAACGTCATATTTAATTCGAAGTACGCATGATTTTACAATTTTGCCTTGTTTCAGACTTGCATAAGGTGAACAACTCCAAGGCAAAACAGGCGATGTTTTGCAATGACGAGGTCGATTTGTCGGCGTTGAATCTCGGTTCAGAATGGTTCAGACAAATGGAACACCGAATTCCGGCCAATGTTTCGGTTCTGATTGTCAGGATCATTTTCAGCGACGCTTCCGCGTTGGGCGTGGCGGAAGTGGCTAGGGAGCTTCTTTGGCAGAATGAATGCCATATTCTCGTGGACCGGCCCTGTGAGCTGACTGCTGCGGATTTGCGGTTGCTGGGGCTGCAACCATGGTTCATGAAGGACGGTCAACGCCATCAAAACCGGAGCTGGTGGGAACATCTGCAGAACCAGCGGCATTGGCTATTTGTGGTTCGCCGTTCAGGCGCTTTGGCGCTGCTACTGCAAATATGTTTTGGCCCTACAGTTCGTCGCCGGCATCTTCGCAGCAGCTCCTATGGCCCATTCCACAGCAAGTGGCCTTTTTTGCAAGTTCCAGAAGGGATGCGGCCATTGCCCAAACCGATGATTCCTTCTTTGCAACATTTGCTGCAAGTGCCAGAGTCACCTGGAGCAGCTTGATTGCAATTGTTTGTGCGCTGGGTATTTCTATGCTGGTGATGGACTGCTCCATCTCAGGTGGGTTTTGGGGCACCTGCAGCTGCAACAACGTGCCGCTGGCTTACAGCGTTGATGAGTATTCAATGTGGAGTTAGCAACTGAAACGTTGGTTGTATTGTGGGGCAAGGCCACTCGCGATTGCACGCCATGGCAGTGGTAGCACAAGTATCACCAGAACTCGTTCAACACCAAGAGGCTGCAATGCGCAAAATGTTGTTTGGATGATAACAAAAAGCATTCATGATTTGTGATGCCAGGTCGCGCTTGTAGTGCCGGCGATTGTCGGGGAGTCGCGGCCTGACAAGTCGGATTCTCTACGGATTATGTGTGTGTTCCACATGAGCTTCCTGAGGGAACAATTTGACGAGTTGAAGATGATACTTTCACGTGCTCCGTTGAGCCCAGAGCTGATCGGGAGCATCGACATGGCAGATTAACATCAGAGATGCCTTTCATGTTTGTGTTGCTTTGAGATGGCAAGGCGGACGGTAGTCCAACCAACTCAGCAGCAAAAGAATCGACACAAAACAGAGCACCTTCATTCAGGCTATGTCGAGCTATTCAGTGCGACGGGCAATGACATGGTGCCAATATGCGGAGGGCCAATTCAATGCGAAGCGCTGAGTCATGCAGCCGAAAGCAAAATACAGTGTTTGTTTTGTTAGTTCTATTGAATGTGTGTGTGTGCGTGTGGGTATCACATCCACGCAAGATGCACGCCCTGTGCAATGTATATTATGCACATCGGCGAACATGCAAATTCTGTTGGGAGCTGTTGGTTTTGCAGGGTGCATGGATTTAATTAGCGCTGCAGGTCTGGCAGCCATTTCAAAGTCTGGTGAGAAGACACCCACGGTGCTTGGCTAAGAAGTTGGGATATGCTCGGTGATACGTTTGTGTTGTTGTGCCCATATTTGCAGCATTCATCTATCGTCGCCATACACAAATTGGCAAAGGCTTTGCCTTTCACAGCTTTGCAGCAAGGAGTTGCATGCACGGCAAAACCAAAATGCGTTGGAATCAGATTCAGGATAAAGTCAATGCAATTCATCATGATTCCCGTTGCAGGATTGGGTTGCGTCGCCAAAGACGTATGGCTCTCGTGCGCGCCTGAACATGATAGAAAGGACTGACGAAGAATGCATGTGAAGGGTTCCTAGCAAATCTCACAACATGTATCATGATACACTGTATCATGACACAGTTGTATTTTCCATTGTTCAAAAGTTGTGCATATGAGTGTCCTGTTGCGGCTTCCTGCTAGGCTACAAGACGGCAAGCAAGGCTTGGCCCTCAGCTGTCGTTGAATTAAGGCGAAAGGGTAGCGTGGGCAACATTGACATTGCGCGATTGGGCAAGGTTTGGCCAGAGTTGTGCTGTTTTCGCGAGTAGCAGCAGCCCAAGAAGTCCAGGCAGGACCCATTCTCTCGACAGCGAATTGTTGTGCAAGTTTCCGCTTGCACGCGGCCATTTGGTATCCTTCAAGGTTCAAACGGCACAGCGCTGGGAAAGCTGCAGATGTTCATAATTCATACTGCTTCCCAATGGTTTGCCGTTCGGAGTCATGCCTAGTTGTGATCAGCCACATATGGCAACAAATGCAAACATATTGAAAGTATGCAAATGGCTAAATGCGCGATCGAGGATCCATCGCACAAACATCCAAGCAAAACCATCAACTTGAGGGTAGCTGATGGGCTGCGGTGCCAGTGCCAAGCAGAAGTACGAGCTTATTCAGGCCTACTTGTGTTTGTGTGTGGATTCTCGTGCTTTTCCGGCTTCAAAACGCACTAGCAAAGCATGGAATCATATAATGTTTGTTTGAATTATCTACGACTACAGTCCATTCACTGGGCGGGCAAGGCCAAATGAAATGGAACACGCGTTGATTGAAACACTTGCCTGATGCAGCCTTGAGTTTTTTTGCCAGGAAGAAGAGAGAAAAAGGAAAAAGAGGAAAGAAGAGGCAGCTCAGGACACGCACACGTTTACAGCATGCAGAGTTAGCCTGTGACTGACGAACATATTGCATTTTGAGAATTGCTCGAGGAGGAGGAGAAGCAGGAAAACAGCCAAGAAGCACAGAGAACAAGGAGCCTTGACAATGTCATGAAAGTTGACTAAAAGATCCTGAATCAAGAAGGGTATGCAGAGATATGATTTGTTTGCATTCGGACACATGAGCGGCTCATCCCAGGAAGACGTCAATATCGACCATCATTCGCACGAATCAGCAACAGCCTCGATTTGGCTTTGCAGATTCCTTTAACAGGCATTGCACTGGCTGCACAAAGGGAGGCTATTCTCAAGCCTGCAAAACATGGAGAGTACATGTTGCCGGTTTGCGCCGAAGTAAGTTGATCGTCACATATTTCCGAGAAGATCTAAGGCGATTGGTTGATCATTATGAGGTGGAGCAGCGTGGCCTTGCATTTGCAAGCGCTATGGCCGCATGACAGTAAACTGTAGCCAGAAGTCCGTGAACAATCATTGGCATGTTGTTTGCTATGTCGATCAGGCAGTCAAACAGCTGGCCGAAAGCCCAGAGCCATCTCCAGGTGCCAATTTGTTTTGTTTCTTGGCTTGGGAACGATGGTGTGCCAGGATTGTGCTGAAGCAAACAGCAGAGGTTCGTGCTTGCAGGATGTATTCATGCATGCTATCACAAGCTGCCAAGCAGGTTGGCTAACTATAATCTGTTGATGCGATGTTGCCTCTTCTTGAGACCCTGCAGGACTGTTCGGAGACGGCGGGTAGATGCGTACAGCGCTTCCAAGGTGCCAGGGACGAGTGACGAACCCGCGCTACCCAAGGTGGAACAAAAAGGTGCAACTAAAGAAAGCTATCATACCTTTAGCACTGCACATAGGTCTCATTTTGTTCAGCCATCATCTCGCTAGGAGATTGACGTCCTTTTACACCTCGACCATCCAAATATCGTAAAGGTCTTCGAGGCAGCAACAATGTCACGTTGCTGGCACGTCGCAACTTATCTGCGACTACCCCTCTGAGGTATTTCAAGATGAGGTGAATACCTACATGGTCCTTCAATGGTGCGAGGCGCCAACTGGAAGACATTGACATGGAGACAAACCTGGCTGCTTCAGGGTGGCAAACTGTTGTCGCGTATTCAGACGGACGAGTTTCTCACCGAATCCACTGTCGCTGCTTGCCCAGCAAAGTTGTTGTTCCAGTCTTCAGTATGTTTCAGCCATATTGCATGATGTTTCTTGGTTTGGTTTGCAAGTGCACGAAGGCCTGCCTCACGCAGCAGATTCTGGCAGCCGTGGGCCGGAGGCCCATTTCAACATGCTGGCCGCAAGTATTCTGTACGCCTTGGGGGATTGTGTCATTGAGCACAAGCTGTTTGTGTGTGTGTGTGTAAAGTGCTCCTGCATGCGGCTGCGGAAGCTCAGGTCATATGCATGCAAATCAAATCTGCCACCGAAATTTGGACCTCAATCACATGTGCCTTTATGATAGGGCGTAGCCCTCAGTGTCGAATTTTTGGGCTTCCAACAGCATGCCAGTCCCGCCTGCACGGGCGCAGGCATCGCTGGACACGAGTCTTTTGAAAGTGTGCGATTTTGAGCTAGCGACAGTGCTCCCAACGACGGGGGCCAGTACGGCTCCCAGAATATGCATGGCAAACATCAGCGCACGCAGATGTTTATTGATCAGTCTCTTTGGCGCTTATTCCGTCGGTTGCAATGTGGCTCTTGGCTGCTGAACGTGCCAAGGACTAAGCGAACCTATTGCTGAGTTTGGAACTCCTGGCGGATTTTACGCGAAGTTTTCACGACAATGGTTGTATGTATGTTAGACACACTGCAGGCAATGCAAATTTCATGGCCCCTGAGCTGTTGACAGCTGTGCCAATGTATTGCTGTTTGGCTGCAATGTGCTGCAATGTTGTTACACTGGAATGAGGAGGGTAATGAGGAGAGTCATATCAGAGAGAGCTCAATTTCCTGCAGCAGAGGCACCAACGTGGACATTTGGGCAGCGGGCATCGGGGTTTTCTTCCTGTTGTGAATCTCGGCAGAATGAGCAGTCATAGTAGACCGCAAACCAGGAGAGCGATGAAAGGCTTGAGTGGGAAGTATTGCCAATTGGATGGTTTTGTTGCTTAGGCGGCCACTTACCTTTTCCAGGATCTACAGTAGAAGAAGTGCAGCAGCAGATTATTGGCTACAGCAAGACCAGGCTGGCTGGAAAGATTTATGTACTGCTGCCAGCTGCCAGAGAATCCTTGAAGGGCTCGGCCCCACCAGCCGCGCTAGCGCAATTTGGGACAGCGCCAACATGGTAGCAATGGTGGTGATTTTTGCCTTTTCCCGGATTTTGCCCAAATCTGTCACATTGCCCGGATTGTGACAAACTCAGCGGGGAGCTCAGCATCACCACCATGCAAACTTCCACGACTCCAAGGCTTGGCCCGACAAACCTCCAATTTACCGCCACCCGCCCGGAGTCTGGAGTCAGTCCCAGCACGGTGGAGTTGCTAGAGATGTCGAGCCATTCCTGGATGTGTCCCAGGCGAAATCTGGGAATGGCCGAACACCACAGGCATGACCAGCATCCCCAAGCACGTGTGCCATGTGTTTTGAAAGGTCCACCGTGTGCAACCAAAAAACGCACCACACGCAGTGCTCGATGAGCTAAAGTTCAGCTTGTGCTTTTGTATCGCGCCGCTATCTCGCGCACGCGTCTTGGTTGACCAACGTGTTCACCGGCCGCAACGTCACACGGCGGTTGTACCTTGGTGGCTGCTAGCTATCTGATGGAAATACATGGGTTTCTGACGAACATTGCCTCGGCCCTGGCATATTTGGGAAGGAGTGACGCCGATTCCAGAGGGTCAAATGCGTTGAACTTTGGAGATGCCTCAGCAACTCGGCCGCAGATAGGATACCTGATGTCGAATTTGTTTCAGCCTGACTCCTAACAATCCCCCAGGAGCCAGCTATTGATTTCGCGGAAACCTCAGACAATGTCAGTGGCAAGAGCATCATAAATTCCGCTGAATATTTTGTTTGAGTATAGTAGTTTCACCCACCACATCAGCCTGGCTCGGCGGCATTGTCGGCGTTGCGTTTTCCAAGAAAATGTGCAAAACTCAACAGGTCACAAGCCTCTTGAACTCCGATTGGGAGTCAAGATGTTCCGCAGAAGATGCTGTGAGTTTGCCCTGGTTGAAGGGTGCTCAGGCTGGGTGAGATATTGAATTGTGATCATTTTCGTTGTTGCCACTGATCAGAGAGGGAAGCATCAAATCATCAGCAGCACATGTCCAAATGAAATACGCGCGTGTCGGCTTTTGCACCGCGAAGCAAGGAGTTCGGCATGTTGTAGGTATACCATCGCAATCCCATGTTGCTAGGCGAAGAAGCAGCCACTTGGCCATTACGATGTTCATCCGATGCTCGAGCCATCATGCGTGTGCTGAACAGCACCCCTGATCGTGTTGCGGATGGTTTGAATGTGTGTTTCTTTGCTGCAGCATGCAGGTTGACAAGCCACGTGGTGAAAGGCGGGCTGTGTGAGCACTCCCAACAGTCCAGCGCAACGCAAGTTTCACCATGGCGCGTCGCCCGAGTTTGCAGATTGTGAAATGTCTCAAGCTGCCCTGAAGAGGTATCCTTTCGTATGGCAACAAAACATTGCTGCAGAAGATGCTTGGCCGCACTGAAAGGCAAGATGTCCATAAGACCAAGACTGCTGGCGCTCCAGTTACTGCTGATTCTTGTTTCTCGTTTTGAATGCGACTGTGTGTATATTATTTAAGGGCTGCCGCCCAGTGCCGCCGACCCCCGGATTTAGTTGTGGTTTTCGAGCAAAACAAAACAGTGCCCTTGGTTTTGGTTTCTTTGGTTTCTTTTGGGTGAAATGTTAAATTTTCGCCCCGGTCAAATTTTGGTCTTGTTTTTTGGTTTCACTGTAAACTTCAACCCTGCGTACTTGAGTCATGATCAGACCCCACCCCCCTGGATGATGATGGACGACGTCGATGATAATTATCATCGTAGAATCCTCTGCATTGCCAATGCTGTCTAACGTTACTTTTGAAATGCATATAAGAACAAAAAAGAGATGATGATGACCATCAGGATGGTGATGAGAAGAGTGATGATGATGATGATGATGACGACCATCATCATGATGATGATGAGGAAGATCCTGATGATGACTGTGATGGTAACTATCATCGTAGCATCCCTTGCATCACCAGTGCTCCTTAATGAGAGATGATGATGACCGTGATGACAATGATGATAAGGATGAGGCCTGTGATGAAAACTCTCATCGTAGCATCCTTTGCATTGCCAATGCTGTCTAACGTTACTTTTGAAATGCATATAAGAACAAGAAAGAGATGATGATGACCATCAGGATGGTGATGAGAAGAGTG